CCCCGAACTGCCCGTGCCAACGGTCGGCCCGGCTTCCTCCTAACCTTGGAAAGAAAATAAAATTGTATTTATCTATATAGTTTTTCTGATGAGACATCAGACAGGCAAGGCAACGCGGGTCCCTTCCTCCCTCCGGCCCTCGGACGAGGTGCCCCTGCCTGCCGGGGGGCTCAGCCTGGGCCGGGGACCCCCAGATTCTAGCCCCACTCACCCCTACGGGGCTGGGCCGGGGACCCCCGCAGTGTGTGCTGAGTTTGGGTACGAAGAGAGGGGAGGGGGGAGACCCCCGTGTGAGAGAACTTCGGAGAGGTGCGAAGGGAGGCTCAGTGTCGTTTTCCCATTCCCCCTCCCGGCAGGGATCTACGAGTGCAAAGAGAAAAGGGAAGATGTGAAATCAGAAGATGAAGATGGACAGACCAAGCTTAAACAAAGGAGAAGCAGAACCAATTTCACACTAGAGCAGCTGAATGAGCTGGAAAGACTTTTTGATGAGACTCACTATCCGGATGCCTTCATGAGGGAGGAACTAAGCCAGAGGCTGGGACTGTCTGAAGCTAGGGTTCAGGTAAGAGAAAGGCTCTGTTCCTGGAAACGTCCTCACCTCACTTCCTAACTGCCAGAGGATCCTAGCACAGTGCCCCGTTTCATCCAAAGAGGGGAGGTGAAGGCAGAGGCGACACGTGTGATGGGGAAGTTGTTTGCATCTCTGCTGTACCTGTCCTGACAAACAGTAACTCTGCTCTGTGAATATTTGCCCGTGCCTTGTATTTCCTAGGAAGGCGGCTTAATATATGTGCTTTTTTGGGGGGGAGGGGAGAGTTGTGGGGGGAGTAAGGTGGTGGGGTGCTGATAGTGTTGACAAGCTTTTTTTTAATTATTTTTATTTTTTCCCTTGTAAATATGCCATTAACTGTCCCTTAATCCTCACTTTCTTCCCTCCCTGTTCTTTTATGGGACCATTATGGTAAAAAAAAGCCCAGAAAACAATCGCCGTGAATAAGGCTAGACGGTTTGGGTGCTGAGGGACGGGATTAGCCAGAGCCGGGGGAAAGGTGCCCGCTCTGATTCGCACAGCAAACGTATGAATGCATGGCACCCCATCTGGTGGAGTTTCCCCCCCGTCCCTCCCATCTCGCTTCAGATACTGCTAAATGCCAATTAGGCTTCGAAGTGTTGAAAATAGGTTCGAGTTGCTGTAGTTCCGGGGCCGTTAGAGCCGTCTGTTTGGGTGGCTCCACATCGATTATTTTAAAGTTCGATTTTCAGTTTGATGCAGGGGAAAAATACTCCCTCTTCCCCCAAGCCAACTAGGGAATGCTTCCACAAAACAGATGTCATCTTAAAAAAACCCCCAAAAAACCCAAACAAAACAAGCCCCCCAAGACAATCCCCCAAAATCCCAACCTAGAAATAATTAAAAACCCCATCTAGAAATAATTAAAAAACTACCTAGCAATAATTCATAAGATCAACCTGTGGCTCTCTGAGCAGGCCTAGAGCAGGGGAAACCTGAAGGAAATATCTTCTTGGGTTGAAATTCTGTGCTTGGCCTAACAGACCCAAATCAAACTAAAACCCAAGAAGCAAAAGTCATCTAGGCAAACCCTCAGCTGAACAAAACGCCTTCAAACACTGGAGATTAGAAGTGCCCATGCATATTTATGTCCTCCTATAGGTGTGAGCGGGTGGGTACACACAGGCGCGTGTATGGCTCTGTGGGCATAGGTGAAAGCATCCATGCCTGCCCTCACTGCCAGGGCACAGCAGGAAGTTAAGAAATACGGCCCCGAGCTGGAGCTGGGTCTGTTTGGCCCCCTCCTTAACCGTGCTAAGCAAGCTGACAGCACACTGCTCAGCAAGCCTTCGCCTGAGCAAGACACTACCCTGCTTTAAACAACTGTCTCCTGGAGGCATATCCTGAAATAAATGGAGTACCTAGGTTGTTTTCGTTTTCCTTTTTGTTTTTTTTTTTCACTTTTATTTTCCCTTTTTTTTTTTTTTTTTTAAAGGCACTTGTCTCCCCTCAGCTCCTGCCTCTCTCAATACAAACTGAGCTGGGCGAGGGATGGTGCCGGGCACATGCCTGAGGAAGGGAAGCTTGCAGGGGATATTGCAGGAGTTCAGAGTGCTGCTGGCCTACTTTTCTCCTGGAAGATTGATCTAACCACACCACATAAATTAATGAAAAGATTAAACTTTTGCTGAAGGGGACATCAACTCTTATGTCATCTTCCCAGATCTTCTTACTTGGGCTCTGTAATATCTTTCCAAGGCCTTGATGTACTGTTTCTATAAAAATAAATTACTTGTAATTGAATTCTGCACTCTTTCTTTCAAGTACTTTATTACTGAGAAGCACCTTAACAGGATGTTCATAGTTACAGGAAAATTGGTGCTTCAAGTGCTTGTAGATCTCAAAAGAGCACAGAAAAAAACCCAGTAAGAGATTATGAGAGAGATATAAAAAAATATTTGATGAATTAATCATCTTACAAAAGAGGTTTGCGTGGATGAATATAAAGCTATAAATAAAAGAAATACAAAGATGGAAAAGAGGAGAAATGGATAATTAATTAGGAAATAAGCAGGGAATTGATATTCATCAATAAATGCAAGCAGGAAAAAAAAAAAGGAAAAGGGAGAAAAGGAAAAGGTGCTTTTTTCCCCCCCAATACTTTCAGAATTGTTCTCTAATTCCTATCTGAACCTCCTGTCCCTTGCTGTTAAAGGATATAGTTTCAATTTAGCGTGGAAATTTGCTGTAAATAAATTGAAGCTCCTATGGTAGCTAGTCCTTATTAACCTTTTATTTTTAGTGTTGTACTGGAAACTCATATCACCCAGCTGTCAGGGTTATAATTGAAAGTTATGAGACCATAGTGAGGAGCAGGCAGTAATTCAATTACAACAAATATCTTTGGGTTTATGGTGCAGGGCTAAATTAAATGTCATTATTCACTGTCTCTAATGGAAATCAAAAGGAAATCAGATTAGAGCATTTGTGAAAGAAATCACTGAGTGATCCTTAATGAAGAAATAACTGTCTAAAACAGTGTACTGTGCTTTACTTAGCATATTCATGACTAATTGGAATTGATCGCGAATCACACCAAGCCTGATTTATTATCGCTTAACGCAGTGGCTAATTCATCACTTTTATTCCTCATAACCTTATTTTTTCGTAGCTAAAGGGAAAGGGCACTTCGTTTTCCAGATTTAAATATAATTTTGGTTTGAAAGATGTTCTGATTTGCAAGAGAAGTTGTTTAAACGCTGCTTAAATTCCTTCTTTGGGGTGGGGAACACACACAAGATTTCCTGCAAGGATTTACAACCATAAAAAAATGTATTATTGTCGCTTTAACCTCGATGATATTTTGCATGCTCATATTTAAATAATTACGTATATATATGTATATAAATCCCTAACGGTCCGGTTAAAAGGAGAAGCGATGCACGTTGCTAATATTTGCGTGTTGGTGGCAGGGAAAAGTAGTGGGGAACACACACAAGATTTCCTGCAAGGATTTACAACCATAAAAAAATGTATTATTGTCGCTTTAACCTCGATGATATTTTGCATGCTCATATTTAAATAATTACGTATATATATGTATATAAATCCCTAACGGTCCGGTTAAAAGGAGAAGCGATGCACGTTGCTAATATTTGCGTGTTGGTGGCAGGGAAAAGTAGTCTTGTGCCGTGCTGCGCTGTACAGGGCAGCGATGCCCGGTGAGCTCGGGGAGGGCTACGCTGGCAACAGCCGTCAGGGACAGGGACTGGTGGGTCTGTCGGTCTGTCTGCACCCGCGGCGCTCGCAATCGCGCACTGCACGGCTACCCTAGGCAGGAAAAATGGTGCTCTAAATCAGGGAAGGCCAATTCCTACTTAAGAAAATCACTGAGGTACCCGAGGTAATTAATGCCTTTGGAAGCCTTTCTTTGCACTAATTACTCCGTTGTAAATGACCATCATTAAGGCAATTGAAGAAAGCTTGAAGGGAAAATTTGATGTAGGAAGTGCAGTTAGTATTAATTAACCGTATGATCTCTTAGCAAGTGCAAGAACATCAAAGGTTGTAGGTGTTTACTTAACTACAAGATTTTATCAGCGGTGAAAGTCAATGTTTGTCCATATTCGGTAGGTTTTGGTGTAAAGATAAGGGTCCGCAAAACATTTTGGTCTGTGCCTCTGACGATGCTTTGGGGGGAGCTGCCAACCAAGCACCTCAGAAAGGGAAAAGTAATGAAGGTCTGAAATGCCCCTGGAAAAGAGGCAGGGGAGGCGTAGTGGCAACTGCAAGTTCTGCGCGAGTGAGAACGGCTGGAATTGTGGCAGGATTATTGGATTACAGGCACTTCCCGGGTAGGGACATAAGCACTTCTTTACATCCCAGCCTGCAAAAGATGCTGCTCTTGTCTGTCTAGAAGTCATGAATTTTGTTTTCTTGTAACACTTGGGGAACGGGGAATGATCAGACCCTTTTGTGCCAGTTCAGTGTACCGAATCTTCTCGGAGACCATCGATTCCAAGCCCAACTCGGGAGAGGGCAGGAGGTCCTGTTTCTTATGGGCCAGACCCTGAGTCTGACGTGGCCCACACTGCCTGTCCCCAGCGTGCCTAAGGTGTGACTGGGAAGAGAGCGAGGATCCCACTCCTTCTGCGTGTGGTCTTATCCTGGTGTTTGTGGGAGAGGACCCTCGCTCCAGACGGGTGGCACAAAGAGTGCCACTGCTCGCCCGGGGGATGCAGAGGCCTCGGAGACTCGGTGCGAAGCCGCAGCTCCCAGTCTTCCCGGCTGCGAGGGCTCTCTCAGTCGCCTCGGTTCAGCTTAGAAACCGCAACAAGGAGCAGGATCCCCTGGCCCCACGCAGCCCCGAACTGCAGCACAGAGAGGGGCTCATTCTGCCCGGGGCAGAGTTCTCCCCCTCGGCTGCTCCTGAGGAGAGACCTCCGCAAAGTTGTGCAGTCCCTCGTCTCGCCCCTCCATCCTTAGGCCCTGAAATAATGCTCCCTTTGCAGCTGCCTAGTCCACCTCCATTTTTGGTTGTTGTTTTGGTTTTGTTTGCGTTTTCTTTTCACAGGTCTGGTTCCAGAACAGGAGAGCAAAGTGCCGAAAGCAAGAAAACCAGATGCACAAAGGTGGGTTAGGGGTGCGGGCCGGTCGGGGGTGGCGGCC